TTCCGGACTAGTGAGAAAGCGAGGTATTAAATACCAGGGTTAAAAGCCTTCTTCCTCCCTCGTCACCAGGACGCGAACTAGAAATTATCTTATATCAGGTTGCTGTTCAACGTGGTGCTGTGCACACGCGTTTGTCCGCTTGATTCTTCCGTTCTCGTATAGTAAATTGGTAGAAAAAGAGACCGAAAGTTAACTATAGACTTAGGCTCGCCGCAAATTGAGCGCAGAGCAGGCGCAGCACAGGGGGCAGCATTATGTGCCTATTCCCGATTAAAACTAACAAGTTATTTAAATAAGTATTTTTTTTTTTTTTTTTTTTTTTTTTTCCTACCCCCCAGGAATTTCTTGAATAAATTCAGTATGTATATAAATGTATATATACATAAATTTTCAACTTTCCTTTTATTGCCCAAGGGCATTTAAATAAGTATTTATTTATTTAGACCTATATTATAAATAACTTGTTAATTTTAATCGGGAATAGGCACATACTGCTGCCCCCCCTGTGCTGCGCCTGCCCTGCGCTCAATTTGCGGCGGGCCTTATGAGTGGGGAAACGTTTGAATTTTTTTTGTTTTTCTTCACCCATTCCTCACATTTTAGGCTATACAGGGTTTTCTTGGAACAGGGGAGAGGGCGGGAAATTAATGCAGGGTTAAAAGCCCTTCCCGACCACGAGACGCGAATTCGTAACTATTTTATTACATAAACTTCGGTTTATATGGTTACCTGGTTTTGCACACGCGCTCGTTAATCCACTCGGTGGCCGAAATGTTTGAATATTAAAATTCGAAGAGGATGTGGACATGGGAAGGCTAATTAGAATAAACAGTTTTTCATAACAAAACGTATAAATAATATTTTATCCCAGCCTTTATAATTGATTTTAATATATGAAAATAAATATTTAGTGATTAATATTTTAGCGTGAAATGTCTCAAATACCACATATGGGTGGGTTCACGATATTCAACCTTAGTTATGCTGTTTCCCTCTGTATGTTAGATTCATTTGTTAGGAACCCCTAATATTGCATGTAACCATCTAATAAAATGTATACTGATAACTAATTCCTACCTTGCTGCCGATATGACGCCGATGATCTCGGAGACTGCGTAGAATCGGATGACCTGCGAAGACAATACTACCTGAAGATCACAGCAGTTTTGTTTATATATGTCTTGAATCTGTAATGAAAAATAATTTTAAATATAACAATTACACAGTATATTATTTTTATTAATTTATTAATTTATTTTATCAAACTGTTTTATTAATTTATATTTAACAATATATCATGATATTATATAATAAAATAATATCATAAATGTATAATTATATTTCATAATGTAACAATTATGAAATATAATTATACATTTATGATATTATTTTATTATATAATATCATGATATATTGTTACTGTATATAACAATACCAAAGTATATACTTTGGAAAAGTTCTATTCTATTAATGTTATATTGGGCATATTCCACAAAAAACATAAAATAGCTATAATTTAATTTTTATCACTAAAGACGCTATTTTAATAATGATTTAGAAATTACCCTCACTCTCCAACAACTTTATTATAAAATTACAATATATATATATATATATATATATATATATATTATATATATATATATATATATATATATATATATATATATATATATATATATATATATATATATTTATATATATTAATTCCTGCATTTTCCTTGTAGGCATTTTAAGGTAGGAAGTACCTTTCGGTAAAACAAGAAAAAGCTGAAAGGGATGTATATGTGTACATTGTATTTTTTATAATAAAATTGTTGGAAATGGTATGACGTTTATGTGCATAAGTGTAAATCAATGGTGTGAGATAATAGCCTTGAGCTACTCCTCCTAGTTCTGGCCGAATATACGAAAGATTGTATTGAAATTGGTCTGCATTTTAATTTTTAAAAACATGTATAAATTTTTTAAAAATGTTTTTTCTTTTGGCATTACAGACCATGTTGATCTTTTACCACCTTAACAAGCCTGCTCTATTTCTTTCCATTTATCTGCACGCAGCTCTGTTGAATCTTTGTTGATTCTATCGCTCCATCTGTTTTTTGGCCTTCCATTTGGCTTTTGCCTTGTATTGAGGCATTCATTGTTACGTAGAGGCTTCCAGATGAATTGATACGAGCTACAGGCTCCGCCCATCTTAACCTCCATGCCTTCATATCATGGGATATTGATTGACGAGTTTCTGTATCAGTTCTTTATTGGTCTTTCTTCTCCTATGTGTTACTACTCTGATCACAGATCGCTCCGGATTTTCCTCTCAAATATTTGCATACTTTTTTCTAGGCTGCTGGTTAGTGGTAGCTGGTGGTCAGTTCTCACAGCCATATATTAGGACTGGCTTTATCATAGCATTGTACACCCTTATTTTTAGATTATTCGGGATTTCAATACCTGAGAGGGAGAAGAAAGCTCTGTTTGCGATAGTTATACGCTGGTCTATTTCTACCCGTTGGTCATTCATTGATGTTATTATGGTGTTTGAACTTTTCTACTTTCGAGAATGATTTTCCTTCTATGCAGATCCGGTCGGATAATTCGGCTTATTGTCATATATTTTGTTATGTATTCATTTATTTGTAGGCTGATCTGCACTATCTCTCTGATCAGTGTTGTAGCAAGTTTCTCAATGTCTTCTTGATTATTTCCAAAGACAGATACATCATCTGCATATCCAAGGATTGTATGATTCATTCCAACATGGATTCCTCCAATTCCCTTTGATGCTGCTCTTATTACATCTTAAAACTTTATTTTCACAATGAGTTTTATTAAATTATTAAAGCTCTAGTAGGAATTTAAGGGTCGTCTCTACTCCATGAAATTCTCTTTCTTTACCTCATTCATTAATATACATCGCTCCATCGCACCTGGCGGGATCTCCACTACCGTATCACACATAGAGTAGACAATAAAAGGTGTGGAAAAGAAAAGAAAGACGAATAAGAGGGGAAAATAATGAAACAAAAAGGTTGAGAAAACATGATCTTTCATTTCCTTTTTTAATAAGCTTTATAGAATTGTTTTTGTGCACCATGCTTTCGGCTAGAATAAGAGGTAAAAAAACACTTCGAGAAGACCTCGATTGAAATGCTTGTAAGCTTATAATTTAGGACAATTTTTCACTTAATCTATTAATATATTTTTCGTTTGTAAATAATTAATATTAAACAATTCAAATATATTAAGTGAAAAATTACCAACAGCTTAACATAACACCATTCCAATTGAGTTACATACACAAACACAAAAACAAAAGAATTACTTTGTTATTTTAAACAGAAGGGGATATGTTAACGTAGGAAAACAGAAACATCAATTATTTAATGGAAAATAAAGAATGTATATAGAATGATATTTAAAAATGTTTTAATGTTGAAATATTTGCTGATTCCAATGATGATGAACACTTCCTCTTCGGCCAATATTACAAAACATTTTTTTTTTTTTTTTTAATTTCCATTAGAAGTACTAAAAAACATGTAAAGCAATATCTTCAAAAATATTTTTGATATGAGTGGTGCCTGTTTCTTATCAAAAACCAGGATCATTATTGTTTTGATATGAAATTATTATTGTTAATATGAAGTTTAATTGAGAATGTAGAAGGTGAAAAGTGGAATTAGTTGATATAAGATTGGCTAACTGCTTTTTTTTTTTTTCACCACCAATAGTTTCAGAGTCCCAGCTTGTCTCTCCACGACATCATATAGGCTGCTAATACGAAGTGCGAAATAGATTTACAGAAGTTTGATTTTTTTAAGAAAGTGAAATGATTTCTTCTCTCAAATTCGAAAATAAAGCACTCCATCCATTTTTAGTCGCATTTTTATTATTTTAATATAAATCTCCTTATAGCAGCCATTTTCGACTTATATCTGATTTTGTGGTTCGTCAACATTATACATTGAATTACATTATATTTAATAACCTTACATATTTCATTTATAAATATTAAACCAATGTAAATATTAACGTTTTGTTGAAAATATAAAGACAGAGAAAAATTAGAGAAGATCTCATAGAAAACAAAAAATTAAAACGTTAATTTTTTTTTTCTAACATTGATTGTTGGTTCTATATAATGTTTTCCGATACATAAACCTTATTTTCATTTGTTATTCAGTCTTTTATGACAGTTTTTTATTTAATTTTTTAACTGTCCCAACCATTTTTTTTTCGTTTACAATTTATAGTACAAGGAAAGGTGGGGGGTTGTTCTAGAAAAAATAAAAATCCCTATTCTAACCAGAGAGGAAAAGTCAAAATTCATTCCGTGGGTACACTACGAAATAAATTTCAACCCACCCATTCTGGATTAAAAACGACTCCGCTACATTCGAGAATGTTAAAACGGCCACACAACACAAGTAACCATCATTATCACCCAACGTTCACACCTTGACTCTTTGTTTTTGGAATTCTTTAGATTTATCACTTCTTATTAAGGTTAGACAAAAAAAAAAAAAATAAAAAAAAAAATAAATAAATAAATAAAATAAAACATAGCCCCATCAATGAAGTTAATATTCAAAGAGACCAAGAACGTTTGTACAAGTACATAAATAGAAAATAAGTTATTAATGTAGATTAGAAGTTTATTGCAACATATTAAAACATAATTTTAAAATGTTACAATAATCTATTATAGAATACAATTCAGTATAATGCAAACAGCATACCCTATTCAAGCTGCATCCGCTATGAAGGTTATTTTTACATTTCATCCATTCTTCTTCTCTGATATCTTTTTCATTCTTTCGATCTACCAAAAGTCTAAAGTCGTGAGTTCTGTATCTCTGGACCACAAAGGGTGATATTCTGCGGAGGTAACTCGAGAAGATTCTAAGACAAAAAAGTCACTGGACGACAAAAAACTCTTCCTGGCCAATAAAACGATCTCCCCTCTTGAGGACCGAGCAAGACATCTTCTAAAATCCATCTCATCCCTCGCGAGCAGAGAGCGGCCCTCGCTCTTGCGGGATGATTGAAAGGACCCGAATCTGACTCTTCGGTACTCGGCCCATACAGAGAAGGAGTCCATAGTCATCAACGTCCTTCAAGTCCTCAACCTCCAACCGGAACAATTCATCCCAGTATTTTTCTCCTTTTCCCGGATTTTCTTCTTCCCAAACCGACCCTTTCCCTCGAAGCCACTCAAACTCGAAAAGACATTGCGTTATAACAGAAGAGTCGAAGGAAGATGAGATCGAAGTATTCTACGATTCGCCAGGTAGAGAATTCGAATCGCATTATCGGAGTGATGTAACCGACTGAGCGATTTTCGTGTCATTGATGTTCATGTAGAAGAACATCGCTCAATTAACAGATATCGAAACCAAACTAAAAAAAAAAATTAAACCAAATGTTTGTATGAATTTTCATTTAAAATAAGGAATCTAAAAATTTCGTTGATTAAAAGAATTATAACCAGATACTGCTTAAAATATATATATATATATATATTTTCCTAGTTCTTCATTTATCGTGGTGATAATATAACCATTTCATGATAAAATTTTATGTCCATTTAGGAACTAGAGACAGAAATAATAAAAAAAGTATGAATCTACATTACTCATAATGGAGACTAAACCTACTGAACGGGTAACTATCTAAAATAAATAATTACAAGAAAGTTCTTAGGTCATTGGCTTTTTAGCTATTAGTGTATTTGGAAAAGAGCTCATCCTCAGGTACTAGTAAAACATCAAACCAAACTATCCCTCAAATTTAATATCTCTCACTATATCTAGCTTGGTTTGATTTCCTTTAGCGCCTGAAAAATGAGACTTTGAACCATGACTAATAAAAGCCAATGCTGGGCTGGAAATAGAGCAACAACGAGCTCTCAAATATTTGGGATGAAAAGATATAAACGATTTCTTTATATATAGTTTTCCACAGTTACTTTTTAAAAGATACATCTGCAGTTGTAAATAGATGTCATTGAAATCCATGCAGATGCAGATATAACTCCAGTAAAATTTAAGCAGTGGTGGTTGAGGTGATTGTTTTGAGGCTAATATAAAAGCCTTAGGTTGCTAAGGGATATATGACCACAAAAGAGCCAGAAGGGAATATCTAACCAACAGCTAGGGAAATAATGTATCCCTAAAATAAGATAATAACAACCACCACAGTACAATTAGTAGTTTCAACTCCCACTAGTTGAGCGATGTTCTCCTTCGTGTACAACTGTGACATGAGAACTGCTCAGTAGCAGCGACATCGCTTCGAAGATGCGATTCGAATTCCCAAACACGACGGATCGCGGAGTACTTTGATCTCTTCTACCTTCGATTCTCCTGCTACAGCACGACATCTGATCGAGTAAAAATAACTTCGAGAGAGAGACTCGGGAAGGAGACAAGAAGATCCGGGAAAAGGAGAAAAATTCCGGAGCGAAGGGGCCAGAGGAAGTTGAGGACATGAAGAACGCTGATGACTGTGGACTCCTTCCGAGATGAGCCGAACGCCAAAGAGCTGGATTCGAACCTTTCGACCATCCTGTGAGATCGAGGACGGCTCAACACTCACGAGGGAATGAGCTGAACTTCAGTAGATGGCCTGCCAGGTCCTCCAGAGAGCGAATCGTTCAGTCCATTGAGAAAAATCTTCGGCCATCCAGTGAGTCGAAGAATCTTTCGCAGCTCTTCTACAGAATACTCCACCCTCAGTGGTAAAGAGTACCTGTAGGCTTCCAGCTTCTTAGATTTGGCCGTATGAATTGGCTTTCCAGGGGTTCCTAGCAACAGAAAAAATAAATTATTTAATCAACTTCCAATAATTTTTTATTTGAAATTAATCTTTTTGTGAAAAGATGATTACATGAGATATGTTTTAGATGGGCCTATCTGAGCAACATCTAAAACAACATTTATATATTAAGTAAAATATATTTATCCAAGTAAAAATCATTGGTGATTTTTAAATTATAATAAAATATTATTATTTTAAATAATAATAAATAACAAATAAAGTTGAACAATGTAGGCTACTTAAGATATGAATTTTAAAATATGAATACATATATTTGTATTAGCCACTTACTTCACATAAGCGATGCAACTCAGCTCTTTTGTACACCAACACAAATCGAAAGTACATCAGTGGTAGATTTCAGTCCTAAAAAGTAAAAAATATTAATTAAAAACAATTAAATGATAATAATACATTACAATACTACAAAGAACAATATTGTTAATATGAGGAAACATATAAAGCAATAACGAATAGATAATAGAAAATGAGGTATAAATAATAGAAAGAAAACAATAATCAAAGTTGTGATGAACATTAAAGGTACGTTAAAATGTATTTAATTAAAAAGGTTATAAATTAAATTTAAAAGAGATTTAAAAAAAAATTAAAAAGTATATGTGTGTATATTTTATTTTATTATTTATAATTGTGTCTTGGAAGTACATATATTGCTTATCGTTGACCTCAGTTTGTAATATTTCGAAATGCAAAAGTATTAATATTTAGTTGGTGCCTTTTATTTAAAACTTATAAAGACATCCTAAGATAAACATTGCATGGTAAATATTAATGTAATAAACAAAGAAGTGATGATAATATCGAACTGCATCGACACAAACCAAATCAAAATCTCATTTCTGAATTGTATGAAAGATTATTGTGTTGCTTCCATAGATAAATAACCAAAAAAAAAACATTGTTTTTTTATTATTGCGAATTGTATCTGTAAAAAGTTGAAAATAAACAGAGACATAGTACAATGTTCCAAGTTAACTAGTCAAGTGAAATTCAGAATTCAAATATTTTAATTTATAATTATACAGAACATAATTTAACTAACTTATTTTTATAGTTCAATTAAATTGTTAAATATTTTTAGTACACGCACAAGTGTTTATACAAATAAAAATACCAATATAAGTCGCCTTATTAATTTTTAAATTTAAGTAAATTGTTTTATACTGATTGAAAACTTTAAATTATTAATAGGATAGTTTAAGAACATTAACGAATTAAATGTTATCAAACTGTTATTATATTATTAAAGTTTGCGATCAGCATTGGTACATAGCTGTGGTAAGATAAATTGTGAGTTATTATAATAAACTAAAAAAATATATCTTTTTTTTTCAAGGCAACAGGAAAGTTACTAAATATGCATATCCGTGCTTGTACGTACATAAATTAATTGGTTAATCTAACAAACAATAACATTTATGTTATCTTTTGAACCATACCTGAATTCTAAATTGTAGATAAATCTTTCCATTCTCAGCTTAAAACAGTTTAAAAATATTGATTTTTAATACTCTTCCGTACAATATTCTTCCGTAGATACAGTTATATACTTAATTTATCAAAGAGCTGTAACATTTATTGCGAAGAGCGTCGGTAGAGAACAAAGGACTAGGCTGAGGGCGAAGTACAAGTGTAGGGTACAATGTTCAAAGTAGTGGGGCTATATTAAAATGTAAAAATTTGTTTATTTCCTAACATAATTTGACCATTATTGAATATGTATGTCCATGATTGTAGCTAATATATGAAGGTTTGGTTAATTTAATAAGCAATAATATTTATTTTATAATTTGAGTAGTACCCTTTTCCAAAATTGCAGCGCAAATTTTCATTAATTTCTTAAATAGTTTAAAAGTCACTATTCATTTGAAGATAAAGTTGAACTTTTGATTTATCAAAGAACTGTAACAATTTCAACAGAACTGCGACTGGGTTCAGGGAGAAGAAGTACAAGTGTTGGGTATATTGTTCAAGGTAAAGGGGGTATAGAAAATAAAGAAATTTAGTTATTTTATAACATATCTGGACAACTATTGAATATGTATGTCATTGCTTATACTATATAAATTAAAAATCGGTTAATTTAGCAAGCAGTAATAATTATTTTATAATTTGAACAGTACCTTATTTTTGAATTGCAGCGTAAAATTTCTCATACTTTCTTAAATAGCTTAAAAATAGCTTTTGCTTGGTAAATGCAGTTTAACTTCTGGTATATCAAAGAGAAACAACAATTACTGCGAAGTTCGTCGTACAGAACAAAGACTTGACTGAGGTCGAATGTCTAGGGTCTAGGGTCCAATGTTCAAAGTAGTGGGTTATATTAAAATATCGAAATTTATTTATTTTTAAATATAATAAAACAATTATTAAATACTTATATCTATACTTGTAGTGTGTAAATTAAGACTGAAGAATTTAACAAGCAGAGAGTTTTTTTTTGTTTGATAATTTGAACAGTACCTTATGTTTAACTTCAGCGTAAATTGTCAAATGCTTACTATAAGTTAAATTACTCGAGTTAAATTAAAATAAATTTATTAATTTTCTAATACAACAGGACAATCGTTGGTAATTATTTAGATGAGGACCACACAGGTTACGCGTGGTTCACAATCACATGGTCACACTTGTTCACGAAATGCCGAACAGTCTCTCGGGTAAACCCAGATCCCTTCGGCACTTCTAGTGTGATCGAAGTGATTGTGAACCAGGCGTAACCTACACATCTTCATCTAAATAATTACTCTCAACATTCTTCATACATATATCAATCATTTAGTAATTTAATAGGCAGTAACACTTAACAAAATTTTAAAATGAATCTTATTTTTAAACATCAGAAAGACATTTCAATTCCTTTCTCAAATAGTTTTAAAATGATGATTTATTTGTAGATGCAGTTTTACTTCAGATTTATAGAAACAATTAAATAAATAGAAAGATGTGGATAGGTAAAAACCTGAAACTTCGACAAATACTAATAGAAGTAAATAAAGTATGGTACTTTTGTGTTCTAAGTAGTACAGTGTAGAAAAATAGAGAATTTTAATTATTTTCTTCCACTTCATAGACAATTGTTAAATTGTCGAAACATTTATTTAAAAATTATGTTACATTTAGTTAAGTTGTTGAATTTATGTACATGCTTGAAGTTATACAGATATATAAGCGTATTAATAATTGGTTAATCGAACTGTTAATAATAAATAATAATTTATTTGGAATTTTTATCAATACCTCATTTACATAACGCATAGAAACATTTGTGTTTCTTTCTCAGATAGCTAAAACGTAATAATTCGTTAGGAGTTACAATTAATATTTTTCAAAATGAATAAACAGTTGAATAAAAAATAAACAATAATGAATAAATTTCATTATAGCGGAATGCATTGGTTCACAGCTGACTATGGCGTGAGGGCGAAGTACAATTTTCGCACTGGCACAGACATGTACAGTCCTTTGTTTAAAAAATGATTTCTTAGAGAATACTTTAATTTGCATTCATTCTCTCTAATAAAAAGTCATAGAAGGATTGATAATTATTTATGTACATTTTATTAGTTTTATAATTTCATTCACTGAGGCATTTTTAATTTAAAAACAAACATTTAATTAATTCGTCAGTACCTTATTTTGAAATAACTGAGAAGCTTTCTCGTTACTTTCTTAAAGATTTGTAAAGTTCTTATTAACAGCAATAGACTTATATATATTGCAGTCATTTTAAATTACTATGATAGTTAACGAAGCGCATCGGTACACAGCTGGCACTGAACTGAAGTGACGATGCAATATGCCAGTGTTACCACTCCTCAATAATAAATAATATTATTTTAACTTTGTTTAAATGTTTTAAATCCTTGTACCTATGCTCATTGAAAATAATACTAATGCATATAAATTGTATGTTTTAAAGATTTTTAAAAATAAAATAAGTCAAAAATATGAAATTAACTCAAAGTAGTGCACCCATCGATGTCATGTCTTTGAATTAAATGATATATTCATACTTGTAAGATAGTAATAGTATTATAATTTAAAAGGTTTATAATTTTAACAATAAATAGGCCAAGTTCCTAAACTCAGCGCTGAACTCATCGGTGACATATTTTCGTCCAGTTTAGAATGATGAATTCAGCGCTGAGTTAAGAAACTTTAAAATGTATTATTAAAATTTGATTATTTAAAAATTAATTAAAATTTAAAATTATTATACCTACTTTTACTATGTTGCCAGTATTAATATTCTTTTGTCATTTTATCTATAGATAAAATGACACTACTTCGAGTTAACTTCATATATTTGACTAACGACTGTCATATTCTTGATATCTACTAAGCAATAAAGATTGTTAAACTATTTAAGAAAGTAATAGAAACTTTTATGCTGCAATGCAGAAATAAGTTACTATTCAAATTATAAAAGAAATATTACTGCTTCCTAAATTAACCGACTCTTAATTTATATAGTATAAGCAATGACATAAATGTTCAGTAATTGTCAAATTATGTTAAAAAATTACTAAATTTCTTTATTTATTTCTATACACGCACTACTTTGAACAATAAAATAGAATAGAATAGAAAAATAATTTTATTCTGGGACACAGTTCCTTGAGAATAATAAAATAGAACAAAATAAAAATATTACATCTGGCCAAAATAAAATCAATCGAAAAAAATAAATAATGTAAAGAAACTATAAGGTAAACATTCTATATACAAAACAAACGAAACTATATACAAAACAATTAATACTATGAGGAGACACTTAAAGCTATTTGCACTGATACACTCTTAAGAAAATAATAAAGAAGTAAAAAATAAAACAATGTACCCAATACTTGTACTTCTCCCTCAGTCCAGTCGCAGTTCTGAGATAATTGTTATATCTCTTTGATAAATCAAAAGTTCAACTGCATCTTCAAATGAATAATGAGTTCCTTTAACTTATTAAGGAAGTTATAAAAATTTACGCTATAATTTTGGAATAAAGTTCTGACTGCTTCGAACATCGTCATATCACACTTAATAGTAGGATTATAGTGTGAATGTGTTCATATATCACTATAATTATTGTCTACAAGACAGATTATTATATGTCTAAATAAAAAAATAAAGGGGAAATATATATGTATATATATATATATATATATATATATATATATATATATATATATATATATATATATATATATATATATATATATATATGGCCCAAACTCGTCGCTTACATATTTTCGCCCAGTTTAGAACGATGAGTCCAGTGCTGAGTTAAGGAACTTTAAAATGTATTGTTAAATTTATAAACCTTTTGAAATTATTACGCTTTTACCATCTTACAAGTATTAATTTTCTTGTATCATTTTATTCATAGATAATGGCATCGATAGTTACACTACTTAGAGTTAATTTCATATTCTTGACTAATTTTTTTTTTTTTAATTTAACACATATAATTTATATACATTTGTATGATTTTCAATGAGCATATGTACAAGGATTTACAATATTTATAAAAAAATATAATAATATTATTTATTTTTGAAGGTAAGTAACACTGGCATATTGCATATATATACCATGGCATTCCATATACCTATATGGACATACATATGTCCCCTTATTACTTTCACTTACTTATATGGGTAATATATAGTAAGTGTATGTATTGCGATCGAGAAATTTTTTGAATCTGGAAACGGAAACACACGTTTTGGGGTAACCGTAGTCCAAATAACCAGGTAACGTAAATGGTCTGTGTGTATGTTAGCAGTCTAGCTTAAAAACGAAAAGTCGTACGAAACTGATGTTAAGTATTTAAGATAGGTATATGCCTTAGATGTGACAGCAACGTTTTCCTTAAAATCGGTTAATCAGAAGTGCCACTTTATATCAACGCTGAAACACATTTTCACAATTTTCTCAAAAACGGCTCTAACGATTTTGATTAAATTCGGTTTATCATCGAATAATTAAGTGGTCCTTAATATCAATTAAGTCTTATCCCCATTGATGTCACTTTACAGGGCTTAAATGTCCAATGTTCATATACGTCTTTCTCTAAAGTACCTTTAATATGTTTTGTTTTTTTAATTTAATCATCTCACATTTTTTAGATTTACGAAAAACTGGTAAATATAATTTTTGAATAAATTTGATAAGTTAATAAAGGAGAAAAAATAAAAATGCTTATACAGGTTGAAAATGAATCTCCGGAAATACCGGTCAGAAGGTATAAGTATAATATATCGTTGGGAAGCGGAGAATTTTAGAAAAAACAATATCTAATATATGAAGTTGTAGAAGTTAACGGAGAGTGGCAAACAAATTATAAATAATAATATTTTAAAATTAATATCGTGAATCACATTTTTCCAAGGATATTAAATGAAATTTACTGACTATAGGTAAACTTTTAAAATGTTTTTAAGTTTGAAAAAAGTATTTAAAATCCACCTAATCAAGGCAATGACATTGTTTATAAACTATTTCATTGTACTTGTGTGAAAGAAAAAGTAAAATATAAAATCATTTCATGGATGTATAAAGCATTTGTGTATAACCTTAAATACATTTACTGTAGTTTAATAATTCTATATCTGATATTATATTTAAATAATTAAGTATCAACATCCGTTTCTTCAGAAATATTGTCATCTAACTTTTTAGAAAATAAAATTCGTGAATAACTTGATGAATCTTCCATTTGTGATATTCCAACAATATCCACTACTATTTCATCATACTTGTGTGGAAGAAGAAGTGAAATATAAGAATATTTCATGGATACGTTTATAACCTTAAATATATTTACTGAAATTTAATAACTCCAGATCTGATATTATCTTTAAATATTTAGGTACCTATCGTCTGTTTATTACAAAAAATCATCTAGTAACCTTTTAGAAAATTAAAATAGTGAATAGTTTGATGAAATTTCAATTTGTGATATTATAACAGTATCCACTCACAATTAGTATGACAACTTTTGATCTGTCTATGACAGACAATGCAAATCCCTTAATTCCGTTTCGTAAACTTTGCAATGGAAAATAACAGTTTAATAGTCTACTAAAATAACTAATAGTCGTACAATCTATAATCAAGGGATCGTACAATCCATAATATACCAGTAATTTAATAAATAGGCCTTTTGTTAATTTAATGGTATTTATGATTTGTTAGCTGTAAGCTTTTACCTTTAGCTCGGTTAAAAATGCAATCAAAAATTTTATAATAGTCCAACATGGCCAGAAAATAATTTCTATTCAAAGTTGAGCGGTAAGTGAAAGTTGTGTGTTGCGCCCACTAGATTTTTTTTATAAAGTTAAGCCTACTTCAGTTGCTATAAAACATAACGACATATATAACATACTTATTTTTCGTGTGTCAAGCTGAAAATAAAGTTTAAGTCTTCTTTTAGTTTCTACTAAATCCCATATAATTTTTTTTCAAAACGTCGATTTTAAATTATATAGTATATAAGTATAAATTGTTGGCTACAACAATAATTTTATTCATTCATTTTCTGTCACTCTCATAGTAATATGATAGCCATTAATGTTTGCCTGTATACTATGTAAAAACATAGGTTATCTTTCTAGTGTCAAGCGATATTTTATTTTCTGTTTCTATATAAGTTTTGGTAATGAAAATTATTTTTAACTGAATCAAGACTTAAATTAAAGCAATAAGATGTATTATATATTTTGGTTAAACAAAGTTACTGAGCGATCTGATTTTTAATTCACTTCTGCTATGTTTGGAATTGAGTTTCCAACTCATTTCTAATGTTGAAAATGATACTTAATAAAACATCTTCATATAATTTCACCGTAATAAGTTGATAAATTTTGTCCCATTTAAAATCCATAAATTAAATAATTATAGAAGGAAAATGTATCTTTATAAGAAAAAGTTAAGAACTTTGCTATTCGAAAAAAAAAAATATATATATTTGTACATTTTTGGTAGTCTCGAAACACCAGAAATAAAATTTGCCCTTTTGTGCATTAATCCATTTTTTTTATGTTTTAGCTCTGGACACCACTCAACTACATTCTCTTGAATTTGATTATGTCGGATTTTTCTGTCTCTCTTTTGGGAAATCCATTCACGTTTGTCTCAGCTGTTGCGAAAACATGGATATTCGGAAAGACTATGTGCATAATCTATGGATTCTTCATGGCCATTCTAGGTAATTTTATATTTGATTATTTCATTAATTATTGATCATTTAATAATTATTCATATACGATCTTATCTTTAAAAATTGGTTATATTTATACCGTCTAAATCACGTTGATGAATTTTAAAAATTTATATATTCAGGAACAATTGCTTTACAGTTAATGTTGGACTAGGTTTGAAGAAGCAATAAGGATATAGAGAAAAAAAACTACAATCAATACTGTATAATTAGCGATATTGTATCGGTAAGTTTTATAATCTTTCAAGATATTCAAAACTAAAAATTAGATTGAAACTAAATACATTTACATACCTAACCAATATGGACAAGCGGGATTTAAATTTCAGCTATTCAATGTATAGTACAGCTATTAAAGATAGAAATAGTTGGAACAAAATAAAAATCCACATTCTATAATAGTTTACACCAAGCTTATGTATCAAGAAAAGGATTTCAATAAATTAAAAATTTCAAGTTAATAAAAAGTTATATTTACCAAAAAAAAATTCTTAAAATTTAAAAGTATTTAAGTCTCCCGGAATGAGCTTCAAGAACTGAAATGTATAAGTCTAATTTTGTTTTATAAATGAATCTAGAATAATTGTTTCTTTCATGAATAACTATGTAAAGTTGAAGAAAGACAAATTGATGCTGAAATGTAATTCACTTATGCTATTCAATATACTCGTATAGGATCTCTAACTGGAATAGGCGAAATCACATTTATTTTTTTTTAGTGGTTTCAAGATTTCTTACATTTTAAATCGTTTAACCTGTAACTAAAATGTAAATAAAATTTATTTTAATTTTGTTTACTCAGTATAATACCTAAATAAGAAAAATATTACAAACATATTATCCACGAGTCGAATTTGAAAATAAATATTGATTTAATCTAATCGTCTTATATTTCATGGTCAAGCATTTTAGATCGAAAATTTTTAACCGATAAACAATTTTTTTTTGGAAATATATTTTTAAATTTTATCAAATCGAAATTCTGAATTATAAAAAAATTTTGTGCTGTTTATCTCACTGTATATTCCCTTGTCTGATATGCTTCGAGTCCCTATTGTCATTAAAGGAGTAAATTAAGATTTGATGACAAAATATTGCATAAACTACCTAGAGGAATAATTTGAAATTACTTTAAGTTTATTATATTATTATGTGCAACCTATTTGAAGACAGTGTTCCAATAAAAACCTTACAGATTCTCTAGGAAAGAAGATGAAGTGATGTAATAATTCAGAATAAAGTGATGTGATAGCATGTTAATAATACTATGTGGTTGGTTAAAATATAATCAATTTAGAAAAATTAATCGATGTATCAAGGCATGGTAAACATACAAAAATTATGATGGAAATTATATCCTTGTCCCATAGAATACAGAACCACGCAAAAATATCACGAGGAGAAAATAATTGGACAAAACGGTCGGAATATACGGTGTGTGAAGTGAGTGAGGTGTGAACTTTTTCATTCCAATTAAACAGAATATCTTCAAGGAATCGTTCGACGTTTGTAAAATCGAGTAAAATTGATTTAAATCGAAAAAAAAGTGTTTCGATGAAATGAATAGTTACTTTCAATAACAATAGGCAATCTTTGATTATCTCTATGGTATTAAATAAAGTGATGCTTTCATTACCCACGGCAAGAGGTTTTTTATCAAGAAATCCCAAGCTGTGTTGCAACATGTCAGCTAACTTAATCAGAAAACAGATTGAATCTTGGCAACTGGAAAAGAAAGAGCCATTGTAGTAGGAAATGAGATAGCCTAAAGGTTTTATTGAAATGTCAATGGATAAAAGAAGAAATTGGAGAAAAGGAAAAAACGATGAAACAGAACAATTATAGGTCTCTTCAAGAATGATTGCCAATGGTTGCCAACATCAGAAGATGAAACATACAGGGGATATTTGTTAGTGAAAATAACGAACACCAGGCTATATAATTTTATTATTATAATCTTGTTTATAATACTTTTTTTCATTGAATAATATAACATTCTGTCAAATGGGAAATAATTCTAGTGATGCAAGATTACGTTTATACTGTATATGGAGAAAATATAAAAAAAAAAAGAAGCAAAATAACATCTAAATAATAATAAGAAAAGTATATACAATGAATAAAAATAAAATAACTTAAAGATAATTAAATTTAAAAAAATAGAATATACCTATATATACTATTTACAATTAAGGGAGGGAACTCTAAGACAGGTTTGTCTCTCCAACTACAGAGGGAAAAAGCAGGACTCTAGAAGATTCTTGCGCTTTTCTTTCAACTGCTTCACTGGCATACATTCATGTCATAAATAAGATTAATAACCATAACTCTCTTTAAAATATTTATAGATGTAGTCTGTATGTAGACTATTTAAAAATTTAAGAAGGTAATTGTTTTCAATATTGTCGTTGAGGTTTACGTTACATTTTATTGTTTATGGAATGGCAACATATCGGGTCATTAGTGTCGGGTTATTTTAATAAGATTGAAGAAGTCTGGTTTTTTTTTAATTACGATATATTTCATACGTATATTAGTGTATACCATTATTGCAGATAGAAAATCTGTGAATATAAAAAAGTTTTCTTCCTTACGGACAAAGTATCAAAATTCATCATAACAAAATAAATAAAAAATTTAAAAAAAAACCTTATAGTTGGTTTTTTTTTAACAAGCAACTATTTTCAGAGGGACCAATTGAATACGGGTTGTTCTAGAATTTTAGGAAGCATATTTTTAGATACTATTTTTCATGCGAACAACAAGCCCAATTATCTTCTTAGTATTTTGTTTGGTCTCATTATAATTCATTTTTATTAATTATCTGAAATCTAAATTAACTAAATTAACATTCTGCACCCTCAAAATATTGTTAAATTTTTTTTTAATAACGTGATATTAATAGTCTTAAAAAAAAATGCATAGATAACTGAACTTAGCTGAGTCGCATTATTTAGCGTGTCGACATAATCATGATCATCAAACTGAACATTTCTAATAATTAAAAAAAGTACTTTAGTTTGATAAATTTTTATTGTATTTTCGACATTTAAACTGCTACTTCACATTTTAAGGAGCAAGAGGAGAAGCACAAAATATTAAAATCGGCTAAAGTAAAGTTAGGATTACCATCACAATTAAAATTTATCATAAAAAACTTAGGTCTAGAAATGCCTAATAAATCAAATTTTCTAGTTGCGCTGGAGCGCAAGTGCAAATATCATATAATGTTAAAATATATAAATATTCATTGACCTATGCAAATTAACATTAAAAAAAAAAATGTGTACTTTAGACAGGATAGAAGTGAAAACATCAATAATATGAGATTAATAAAATGAAGTATAAATTATACATGATAGCCCAGTAAAGAGGATGAAGTGCTGAACAATTCATTCGCTTTCAGTATGCAAGTCCAATTTGTAGTTTCTGAGATATTTTAATCCATATCTTCAACAAAAGTAGGAGAGTAAGTGTCATGGCCGCTACTGCAGTTTAGTTTTCAGTTCGCTCTGTGATTATTACTTTGCTATGTGCTTATTAGTCAAAACTCTGTGTTAATAATTGATTAACAGTGACATTATAAACAGTTGAACATTTTTAAGTTCACGGATAAAGAGGTGAGTTACAATTTATTAACAATGAAGTGATAAATTAGTGCTCGTTTGAATAGCCCATGTGGCTGTTAATTGCCTTGCTTCTTATCTTATTTACGTTAAGTTCCCGGCCAAGGTTTGTATACTAGCTCGCTTCCGTCAGCTGATCTCAGTACGAAACCAAAGACTTGTAGAACTCCTTTTTTTTTTTTTTTTTTTTTTTTTTTTCTTCTCCAAGAGACAGTTTATTTAATTTTTTTCCTTTGTTTATTTATTCTCAGAAATGTTTTGTTTTATTTCTGTTTCTGAGTTTGTAATTTTTTTTTTTTACTTCTTTTTAATAGATCGTAAATTCTTATTTTGTAGTTTTAATATTTAGGTATATATATATATTTTTTTTCTTTCTTTTCTCTTCTTATCATAATGGAAGATATGAATTTGGACGAGAAATCTTCATGTGAAGATTCAGAGGACGAGACACCATTTTCCGAGGTTAGCGAAACTGATTCGCAATATCTGAAAAGACGCTCGCTTCAAAAACGTAACAGAAACTCTGCCCCTGGGTCAGGTGGCAATTCGCCTAACAAGAAGAAAAATAAATCAGCAAAATCTAAACAGACAGCTGAACAAAATAAATCTAAACAGCCTGCCGAGCAAAATAAATCACCACCCAGAACTAGAAGCAAATCAAACATCACAAAAACAGCTCCAACTGCACCAAATACCACAGCCAGCAATAATTTTGATCTTGGTAGTAACTCACCTAACAAGCCTCCGGCACCTCAAGGTTTTACTGACCCCGAGCCGCCCCCTATTTTTGTCTCTAAAATTGAAAATTTTATATCATTCGTTCAAGAAATTGCCAATCTTATCGGACAAACCAGTTTCCGCTGTTTTTCTAGGGTTAATGACATTAAGATTAACACGAGCTCTAAAGAAAATTATAAAACTCTGATAAATTATTTTACAACTAAAAAATATGAATTTCACTGTTACCAACTGAGACAAGAAAAGGCATATCGGGTGGTATTGAGAGGCTTGCACTCAACCACTCCCATATCCGTTATCAAATCTGATCTAGAGGAAATAGGACATAACGTTAGGCATATAGCATGCGTCCTACATCCAACGCAAAAATATCCATTGCCACTGTTTTTCGTTGATTTGGAGCCTGCAAGCAATAACATTGACATATTTCAAGTTAAGAGGCTTGTGTATTCCACAGTAAAATTCGAAGAGCCTAGACAAAAACCTGTCATAGTTCAATGCTCCAAGTGTCAAGACTTGGGCACACAAAGACCTATTGCCATCATCAAGCGAGGTGCGTTAGATGTGCCGGGCCACACGCATCTAACACTTGTCAGATCCCTCGAGACCAGCCTCCTAAATGTG